AAGGTGTTAGGCCTGGGCAGGGGACCCCCAGCTCCCTATGATCGCCGACTCCGCCCCTGCTTGCGATGGCTGGCTCTGCCCATGCTCAGGCCTAAAGTCTCTGGCCAAGGCATTAGGCCTGGGCAGGGGACCCCCAGCCCCCCCTCGATCTTCCGCTCTGCCCCTGCCTAGGCCTAATGCCTCTGACCTAGGCGTTAGGCCTGGGCAGGGGACCCCCAGCTCCCATTGCCAGCTCCGCCCCTACTTCCCGTGATCACTGGCCGGGGACGGGCAAAGGCACCCGGTTCTCCGATCACCGGCTGTGGGGCAGGGGGGGGCCGCCTTTGCCCTGCCTCCTGGCTCTTGGCTGCCTCCTCGGTTTCTGATCACCGGCAGCGGCAGGCGGCTTCTTCCGTCCTTCCCCTTTTGCCTCCCAGCATTGCGCCTACGTATGCAAATTAACCGCCATCTTAGTTGGCAGTTAATTTGCATATCACCCTGATTAGCCAATGGGAAGGGTAGCGAAGTTACGGTTAATTACCATGTTTGGCTATTATTAGATAGGATATTTAGAATATGGACCTGGCATACAATAGCACTCAATAAATATTTTCTACCATCCCCAAATTTGTCCTCCCAAATCTTGAGTTTATTCTTGGTGCTTTGGTAGGTTTTTTAATTGTTGCCATTGGTTAGTGTCTGTCTTTCCCACTAGACTCTAAATTCAAAGCAAGTAGAAATTATGCCTATTTAATTCACCTTTTAGCCAAGGTGCCTATTCTGGCTGGCAAATAAACATTAATAGAGTGCATGTTTCCTAAAAACCAAAACCAAAATAATAATAATAAAAAAAACCCTTCCTTTTAGTAACAATACAATAACAACAAGAAACTTGCTGGAGTTTTAGCTTTTGATACAGACCCAACTTCAAATGGTCTCTAATCTTATGGAATAAAGTTCAGAAAACTGAGGCTTGCAGTCCAATAATAGAAAACCCTGGGCTCTTGAGAGAGATAAAGGGAAAATACATGGTAACTTACATGGGGCGTAAAGGTTAGAAGGAAAGATTTTATTCAACAGATTCTATTTATGAACAAATTATTGCAAATACTGGAGGAAAAAATTCCTTTGTGATCTTCTAGATACTGTTGGTAGACTCAATAAATACTGATGGGGGCCATTTCAGGACAGTTTTGCAAAATGTGCTTGGCATACTGGATGGTACACAAGATGATTTTACCTAGTGCATGGATACACTTGTTTCAATATTCAAGTTGAATATTTAAAAAATATATATGCAGAAAAAAATGTAAGTAGCACATCATATTCTTTTTATAAAAAATTGATTCTGGAGAGAGAGTAAGGGAAAGGGAAAGAAAAACATTGATGTAAGAAAGAAACATCGATTTGTTGCTTCCTGCATGCACCTCAACTGGGGACCAAACCCACAACCTAGATATGTGCCCTGACCTGGAATCAAACCTGAGACCTTTCAGTGCATGGGACGATGCTCAAACAACCGAGCCACAGCGGCCAGGGTGCACATCACATTCTTAATTTCGCAGATATAATTGTCAAGAAAAGTTAAAAAGCTCAGCCGGTGCGGCTCAGTGGTTGAGTGTTGACTTATGAACCAGGAGGTCACGGTTCGACTACCTGTCAGGCACACATGCCTGGGTTGCAGGCTCTATCCCCATAGGGGGCATGCAGGAGGCATGATTCTCTCTCATCATTGATGTTTCTATCTCTCTCTCCCTCTCCCTTCTTCTCTGAAATCAATAAAAATATATTAAAAAAACAACAACTGTGTTTTGTGTACTCACAACTGTAACCTATTTTTGCCCAACCCTGTATATAAAAACTAACCAATGGTGTCAAGATATTCGATTTGATGAATAATTACAATAGTCACATTCCCAAAATCTATATAAACAACCTAAAGAATTACTCTTAAAATCATGCTAGACCAAAACTGCCTGGAACAGATTAGGTGCAATGTATACTAAGACATATATACAACTCTCTAGTATAAAAATTTTCAAAAACCCATGGATAATATAATCTATATATAGAAAAGCCTAGTCCGTCTGACCAGTAGCTATGATGTGCACTGACCACCAGCGGGCAGATACTCAATGCAGGAGCTGCTCCCTGGTGGTCAGTGCATTCCCACAGCAGAAGCGCTGCTCAACTGACGGGACTATCCAGACCGGGACCAGGATTGGGACTGACTGGGTGTGAGCCTGTGGCCGCTTCTCCGTCATGGGCACGCCGGTATCGCCCTAGGATGGGCGCGTGGAGACCACAGTGGAGCAGCAGTGAGCCTACTGAACAGCAGGGCTGGGATGAGCAGGAGCGATGTGGATCCCGACCTGGGCTCAGGCTCCTCCCCAGCCACCTGCCACTTCGTGCACTACTACATCCCTTGGGGGATGTTGGACTGCCGGTTTCAGCCTGATCCCTGCAGGCCAGGCTGAGGGACCCCACCAGTACATGAATCCGTGCACCGGGCCTCTAGTAATTTATATTTATAAAGAATAGCCATATATATAAACATTGTTATAAAGAACAAAACAAACTCAGAAAAAAGTAATCAGAGTATTACTTCCTACACGTAAGGCAACTAATGCCCCAGTACCTCAAAGTCCTTTATAAAAGGAGATAGCTTAATAAGTTCTAGGTTCAGGGTTTTTTTGTATTACTTTTTTTTCTTCTTTTTCTTTTCATCTACTTCCATTTTAAGCTTAACTTCTTCAGCTGTGAGAGCTCCCAGTTTCTTATTCTTTGCTTTCTTAACCTTTTCCTTGATGGCAGCCACGTCAATTTTAGTTTCAGTAGAAGCTAGACAAATAAAAACACAATATGTGTAATTCTTTGGATTTTACCAAATAAAATAGAAAGAATATGTATTTAGTACAATAATTTCAGAATATTTTTATAATTGGAAGGTCATGTTATAAAATATAAAACACCTGCCATATGCCTAAAGGAAAATTAGAGATTTCTTTAAGAGAGAAAAAAACAACTTTAAAAACACATTAGTGAAAGTATACGTGAAAATGGCATTATAGTTTAGCTATGTGAACCAATTACTGGATTCAACTGGATTCAACTATATTAAAACTACATTCCTCGCCACCCCCCGACCCCTTCAATCATGCTTCAAGTTAGATTATTTTTACTTATATTCTTTCCCACATTTTGGAACTTTACAGCACTTATTAATATGTCAATTTTCCATCTTACTTGTTAAAATAATTTAGAATTATATTTCATGAAGAATATTATATGTCATCCTTCCAACTTCCATAATTTTAATTAATCATGAAGTTCTAAGTCAAAATCATCTCTAATACCACATAAAAACTTAAAGCTTTCCCAATGTTAGTTCAATGAGTGACTAGTATTATTTTGTTGGTGTCCTTTGGCTGAAGATAATGAAAAATCCATGGTAACAATAGAATCAAACGTAAGCTACAGATCACATGAGAGAAGAAAATCACAACCTCTGCTGAGCTGTTTTTGAAAGGCGTGATATCAGAGCTCAGGGATCTCTCAGAAGAGTCACTCTCTGGTTTATATCTTTCAAACAAAAGGTCCTTCCCAAGCACATCCAGAGCCAGGAGAGGACTATCAGTCTGGGTACTTACACGGGGAATAGCTGCTACTAAAGTACAATTACCCCAGTCGTTTCCTGTCCCTGGGATTAGTGATTAATGACATGCTAAGTGAATTAACAGCAGATATGGTTATTTCCTTACTTAACACTCACATTTAGGTAAATTCACTTAGGGTTTACTTTTCAGATAACAGATTTTTACATCACACCAAGAATTGGAAAACAAGCTTTACCTTCCTTAGGTTTCAAAACTGGCTTTTCTTTAGGTGGAATGAAAGCTTTGTTTCTTTCCTCTTGCCTCTTACTGAGAGCTTCTGCTTGTTTAGCCTATGTTAGTAATAAAACATACATTAGTGAAACACAATTTATAGCTAATTAAGAATTCAAGTTTCTATGAACTTTGTTATTAATGTTGTGAGCTAAACACAGTCTTACCTTTATTGCTTCCATTTTCTGTCGCTTCTTTTGACTTGCCTTCAGAAAGTATTCACCACTAGCCAATTCTTTATCAATCTGTTGAAATCAGTATTTACAATTACTTCGGAAATAATGTAGATGAAAGTCATTTTCTCAGGAAGAAATGTCACGAGGTAAAGACAGAGGCTCAAAAATCTATGATTAATTCATAAAGGGAATGACAAAAAAGAAGGAAACGTACTCTAAGTTGAAGGAAATATGTCCACAAAAGCATGGAGGTAGGAAAGCAGATGATGTGTTCAAGGAATACACAAGAGACTGCTTTAAGGAGGGTGGGAGGTCAATAATTCAGAAAAGTGTAATAGGAAACTGGAAAAATAGTTTGAGGAAGGTTGAAGAAACTTGAATGTCAGGTGAAGGAGGTGGGACATGATTTAGGAATGATTCAAGTTTCTGAGAAGAGTGAAGAGACCAAAGCAGGATTTTTTTTTTTAATATATTTTATTGATTTTTTACAGAGAGGAAGGGAGAGAGATAGAGAATTAGAAACATCGATGAGAGAGAAACATCGATCAGCTGCCTCCTGCACATCTCCTACTGGGGATGTGCCCGCAACCCAGGTACATGCCCTTGACCGGAATCGAACCTGGGACCTTTCAGTCCGCAGGCCGACGCTCTATCCACTGAGCCAAACCGATTTCGGCAGGATTTTTTTTTAATGTAAGCTATTTTTCCCTCTCAATCCTCCCCAGATGACATGCATATAGAGAGGAAAGTAATGGGAGGAGAGAGAGAGAAAGAAAGAGAAAGAGAGAAGAGGGGAGGGGAGGGGAGGAGAGGAGAGGAGAGGAGAGGAGAGGGAGAAATACACTCCCCAACTGGAGATCAAACCCACAACTCAGGTATGGGCCCTGAGTGAGAATCGAACCGGCAACGTTTCGGTGCAGAGGACAACACTCAACCAACTCAACCACTCAGGCCTGGCCCGAGCAGCATTTTTTAAAGTACAGAAGAATAGAGAAGAGATAGAAACCTGGAATAAAGGGTAGTGGCATGCAAAATAAAAAGCAAGATTGTCAGAATTTGGTGACTAAAACACTAAGCAGAGAAAGCTATGGCTCATTCATTCTCTATATATTCGACATTGATAATTTATCTCCCTTGCATGTACATAGCATTATTATATATAAGGCAATGTTCTAAATTCTTTACAGATGAAAGCGCTTTACAACTACTAATTCATTTAATCCTCGTTAACAATTCTTTGAGATAGGTGTTATCATTATCTCCATTTAAATAAATTTTTAGCAAGTAAGTGGCAGAATAAATCAACTGAGACTGTTGAATCACTGTTTACAGGTACAGGGGAGAAAGACAATTACTAACTATAGGGCAGGGCTATACGAAGTACAGCAGGTGGCCCGGCTAGCGTGGCCCAGTGGTTGAGTGTTGACCTATGAATCAAGAGGTCATTGTTTGACTCCTGGTTAGGGCATATGCCCGGGTTGTGGGCTCAATTCCCAGTAGGGGACGTGCAGGAGGCAGCCAATGATTCTCTCACCATTGATGTTTCTCTCTCTCTCTCCCTCTCCCTTTGTCTCTGAAATAAATAAAAATATATTTTAAAAAGTTAAAAGAAAAAGAAAGAAGTACAGCAGGTGTTATGGAAAATGGTTTAGTATCTGGATCACTCCACTTTCCCCCAACTATCAGTTTCTTTCCGGCTTCCCTTTCTTCCTTTCCCCGAGGAAACCTCATGATCCAGCACTTCCACTGTTTTTTCACCATGATGACCACCATTCCTTTCTTCCCTCTGACCTTTCATCAAACCTTCCCTGAAAAACTTCAAACACAAGGCTGTGGAGAAGGAAGACAGTACCCAGAAAGGGATAGGTTTACATGCTGAGCCTAAAGAACTAGCAGAAAGGGAAGAGTTTCCAAGGGAGGAAATAATGAAGCAAGAACCCTCAAGAGATAGAAGAAAAAAGAAGTAAAAGAGTAGGTAAAGAACTGATACACATGGGAAAATGTAGGTGAGAAAAAAGGAAGTTGAAAGAGTTCTTGCCTGATGGTCTAAAATATTTCAGTAAAATAAAATTAAATGACATCTGCTAGGAGTGGGAGAGTGCCTAGACAATTAAGAGGATTCACAGAACTACCAGACAATACTGAGCACCTATCTGAGGTTGGAAACATACATTTAGAATGGATATAATCCGAAGTTATGACTTCTTCCACCTATGTGTAGTAGCCACATTATGAAAAAGAAGTCGTTTTAGGACTGGTCCAAGTTTAAGAGTTTTGCTGGGCAGGTGTGATAGAAGGAAAAAGGCACATGAAAGAAAACAATGGGCAAAATGGGAAAGGACATTTCGGAAAGGAAACCAGAAGACAGTTGGCAAAATTCCACCTAAAATACCCTCAATAAAGTTTCTTACAAAATTGATAACAGTTTCTCCATCATATAATGAAATTCAACATTTAATACTTACCTGACTTTCTGGTTGTGGTGGTGGGAATGGTGTATACTCTTTCTTAACAGTTTTTTTCTTTGGTTCCTTGCGTTTATTCACATTTTTGTGCTTGAACTGTGGCAAAAATCTTTCCCAACTTTGTGATCTTAATTCAGAATCTTTTGCCAACTCTCGTTTAATCATTAAGGTCTTTAGTCATGCAATATACAAACAAGGTAAAAATGTTAATTTCAGATGTCATACATTTGTCAAATTAAGACATCATAAATATTGTTCTTATACATAGATCTTAGTCTCTTAGGTAGGATTAAACTAATTCCATAAAGAAAAGAATATGTAATCTTGATTTTTAACCAAGCATAAGAAAATTAGATGAAGAAATTTCAAAATTATTGAAATAAATTGAGATGAAAGAGACTAATCCAGCTTTTCAACCATTATTTCTTTAAATCTTAAAACTCAACTTAATAGCAGGGAGAATCCTTAATAATGTTCCCTGAAACAGGGGTGGGCAAACTTTTTGACTCGAGGGCCACAATGGGTTCTTAAACTGGACCGGAGGGCCGGAACAAAAGCATGGATGGAGTGTTTGTGTGAACTAATATAAATTCAAAGTAAACATCATTACATAAAAGGGTACAGTCTTTTTTTTTTTTTAGTTTTATTCATTTCAAACAGGCCGGATCCGGCCCGCGGGCCGTAGTTTGCCCATGGCTGTCCCTGAAAGCAGGAAGCTTTCAGTAGCACCTGAAATATCACAGGGGGGAAAAGCAAACCTTTTCATGATCAGACAAAACCAATATTCTCACATTTCCTCCACTCCGTTTGAATTTTATAGACATTGAAACACAGGAAGATGCAAACCAGGCATTAGATGCATGACTAGCTCTCTTTATCTTTAATGTCCCAATGTAACTGAAAACTGTTCTTTTATGCCAATCTAATAAGAGACTTTTAAACTTAACTTCACCAAATTTAACTGGACTGCTCAACAAATACTCATCATAAATAAAATAGCTCATTATAGCATGGTTACATTTCCAAGAACAGTCATGAACTTTGTGCACACAGTGATATAACATCTCTCTCAAAAGGCTAACATACAAAACAGATAAAGCAGAGCTATTTTGGGTAAGCTAAATAATTTGAGTATTAAGTCCTCTCCTCCCCCAAAAGTTTTAATGCAATCTAAAATATCTGAGGCTTTATTTAATAGAAAAAGGTAGAATTCTGAAAGAAAACATCTTTAAATATAAAGATGGGCTCACATACTCTGGTTTCTCTTCAGATCGCATAAATCTTTCGCCTTTTTAAAGATGGGCTCACAACCTAAGAAAACAGGATTGATATAATCTATCACAAATTCTGTGAAGCCTTTCTTATATTAGAACTATATAATACACTAGGGGCCCAGTGCACGAATTCATGCACCTTGAACCGAACTGTGGGCCGTGAGGCTGCTGTGGGCACAGGGGTCTCGGCCCATCCTCCATGCCCCTGCCCGGTCCCTCCTGCCACGGCCCCCAGTCCCTTGCCTGCCTGCAACCCTGCTCCCACCACCACTGCCGCTCCCATGTGCTGACGGCGCCGGCCCCACTTGCACCGGCTGACAGTGTGGAGCGATTGGAGCTGGCGCCAGCAGCAGGTGCAAGTGGAGCTGGTGCTGTCAGTGGGTGCGAGCAGCGGCTGCTGCCCCAATCGCCCCTCAGGAGCAGGGGGAGGTGGAGAAGCCCTTGGGCGAATGGGGCCAGCAGCCGCTGCTCACACCCACTGATGGTGCCGAGCGATCAGGACCGGCGCTGGGTGCTGGCAGATGTGAGCAGTGGCTCTGGCTGTGGGTACGAGCGGGGCCATTGCTGGCAGTGAGTGTGAATGGGGCTGGTAGTGGGTGCGAGTGGCAGCTGCTGGCCCCGATCGCCCCTCAGGAGCAGGGGGAGGTGGAAAAGCCCTATGGGTGATTGGGGCTGGCAGCCGCCGCTCACACCTGCTGATGGCGCCGAGAGATCGGGGTCAGCACTGCGTGCCGGCAGTGGGTGCAAGTGGCAGCTCCGGTGTTGGCAGAGGTGTGAGTGCCCTGCAGGACCGCGGCACATGGGAGCAAAGAATTTTCAGTAACCACCAGAAGCTCGCCCCAAAGACAGCGACAGGCGCCCCACCTTGGTCTGGTGCCCCCTGCTCACCTGCTCCACCATCCCACTGTGACCAATGCCTGCCATGTTCCGCACTCTGCCACCTGCTGCCAACGCTTGCCATGTTCTGTGTGTGCCCCCTGGTGGTCAGTGCACGTCACAGTGACCGGTTGTTCTGCTATTTAGTCTATTTGCATATTAGGGTTTTATATATATAGATTAGTGTCCCTGTCAATACTGGACTCTACAGAGACGCAAGCTTTTAAGGAAGTAACTTGAGGATGGGGTAGAGTTGAGTGGATTGAATTCTGTCTCTAATTTACCCAAAATATCTCTACTTTATCTGTTTTGTCTATTCAACTTTTATAAAAATTTAATTTCAAGAAAGTTTTCTGTAGCTAAAAGAAGTCTGACAACCACTGTTACAGGAATATATAATTAACACTCACTTTAATATTATAAATTGGATGAATATTCTTCATAGTATCTAGGACTACTTTTCGAACCTGAAATTTGCAAAGAAAAATGTATTAGTCATTTATAAATATCTTAATGAACCAGGTAGAAAGGAATTACTGTATTGCAAAATATCCTACAAACCAGACAATGGCTGCCAAATTGAATAGTTCCTTCAATTGCTCCTAGTGGCTGCTAGATCTTTCATAATAGTTAATCTTGGGTACAGTGACGTTACTCAATTGTACTGTGAAAACATGACATATTGAACAAGTGTAATACTCTGCAACTGTGATTTAGGGGGGAGATGGATTCAGAGTCAGAAAATGTGGGCTCGAATAATGGGACTGCCACTTTATTTGGAAAGATACTTAATTTTCCTGTTCCAGCTTTCTCATTTGCCATGTGGAAATGAAGATACCTCAAGGGTCTGTGGTAAGAACTGAATAACGTATTTACACTTTATAGAATTACAAAGTATTCAATGTATTTAAGTTATTATTGCCCCATGAGAAAAGGGTAGATCATTTCTAAGAATGAGGTCCAAGAAAGTTCTATTAAAGGCCCTAGAAAGGAAGAAGCAAGACCTCACAGCCAGATCCAGATAACAGTATCAAAGGGAGTCAATTGGAACAGTATCTGCTCAACAGATTTCCTCATAACAAGTTAAAATAAATGTTCATGAAAACATTATAATAAATCCAAACAAAAGAAATGTATCATAAAGGAAAATTTGAGTTTGACCTCGACTGACTGTATACGTTTCTGCAAATAACATCTGTTCAATTCCCTAATATTTGAGCACATGTAACTACATCATGTTTCTCATATGTGCTACGGACTAAGAGCTTAAACACCCATTTAAAATTTGTAGTGGAAGGAGCGATGGTGTGAAGACCTAATTGACATGTGTGTAACTGTCAAAGGTTGGTCATAATATGTTAGTGTCCAGGAGCAATGACTCCCTCAAATTCCATGAAGTACAACGTATTTACTAATGGAAAATCAAACAAAGCACATCCTAAAACAATACAATAATCATAAAACAATATATTATAACCACATTATTTAATTTGTTCTCTGCTGAAAATTAAGATATTAAGTCTCACCTCTTTTAAGCCACTAAAAGGTCCAATGGCTGAAACCGTGTTTCCCTGAACCATAATGTAACAGTTTGTTAAGAGTTCCAATGCCTACATCAAAGAACAGTAAGTTGAAATTCAGTTGAAATACACTGAAAAACTAATGACAAAAACAGATACTCAAGTTTTCTACTGGTAAAAAGTACCTTTAATGTAGATCCTTTGGGACCAATAAGCCGTTGTCTTCTTTTTACAAACCTTTCTTTATTTCTTACTAAAGAACCTATTTTAATGATGTCACATGCAATATCATCCTGAAGAATTCGTACTGCCTTTTGAAAACATAAAGAAAATATTCTTTACAAATACATTTCTTTTCAAAGTCTACACTGATATCTAAGCAGAATAATGAAAACTCTACAGAGGGAGGGTGGGAGGGAGTAAGGGACACAGAGAGGGAGGGAGGGAAGGAAAGAGAGAAGAATGGGTGGGTATATACAGTGCTGTGTTATCTCTAATGGCACAAATAAAGCAGAATCTCTGTAACTGTAAGTTTACCTGTTCAAATGAAACACTCCTTGCTAGTAGTTTTATTAGGTCTCTGGCCCTAATGATGATGTATGGATCAAAAGTCTTCTTTGTTGTACAAACAGTCATGCTGCCCTCGATCAGGTCCAGGGTTGCATTAACATGCTACAAAAAGGAAAGAGCAAACAAGCAGCTGCCTAAAAATGAGTTCAGTTTTAGATACTTACATAACCTATCCTAATCTAACCATTAATTACTATGAATTAATCTCTCTCTAAAATTCTATCAACTCTCTCCTTGAAGAAGCTGGGTAGTTAATATAAAGAATGCTTGATTACTTTCATACTTCAAAGAATATAGAAACTCAGGCAATTGAAACCATTTATACTTACTGGGGTTTAGAATACTTTGTACTTACTGGAATAAAGATAATCCCTAGTTTAAAAAATACGTATCAATCCAAATGAGGCCATACTTATACTCACATGCTATTTTCTAACATATGAGCATATTTTGAAGAATATGTAAACATAGCGAGTGATGAACTATTCAACATAAGACTGGGTCTGTATGAGTTTATGAGAGAGAGAGAGAGAGAGACAGACAGACAGACAGACACACCAATCTCAGATGTAGACAGCTATGAAACATTGCTTGCAGTTTGCCGAGTCACTCTCATACTCAATGGGCACAAATGAGTCCAGAGCAGTCCGTCAGTTTGAGAAATATATTTCATGTCACAACCTAGTACACATACATATCCTATACAATAAAAGCCTAATATGCTAAGTGTCTGGTTGACTGATCAACCAATCAAAGTGTAATATGCTAGTGATATGCTAAGGTTGCTCAACTGCTGGCTATGATGTGCACTGACCATCAAGGGGCAGACACTCCAACTGGTAGGTTAGCTTGCTGCTGGGGTCTGGCCAATCAGGACTGAGCAAGATGGGCCAGACACGCCCTGGAGCCCTCCCGCAGTCCCTCCCTGGCTGGCCAACCTCCTGTGTCCCTCAGCCTGGCCTGCGCCCTCTTGCAATCTGGGACCCCTCGGGGGATGTTTGAGAGCCGGTTTCAGCCCGATCCTGCAGGCCAGGCTGAGGGACCCTACTGGTGCACAAATTCGTGCACTGGGCCTCTAGTATACACATAAAATGAATCAAAAGCTTCATAAAATCATCCTTACCACATGTGACACATTCATATTTTAAAGACTCCTTATATCCACTAAATTGACTTCTGGATCCACTAATGGATTTCAACCCATGTTTGAAAAACAAAAACAAATACACCACTCTAGGGGCATGGCAGCAGCAATAAATAGGAAAAAGATGGCACAACCACATCTTTCATTTAAAACGAAAATTAAGCAATTAGACAGAAACATGTCCAGCTCAAACTGTGCAGGTTTGTTACAACCACCACAGTACAGAATAGGCATTCTGAAACTTGGAGTTCACAGATGAGTTTCAGACAGGCCATCAAATCCTTACAATTTTAAAGGAATGTGTATTTTTCAGTAATCTATTATTCATAAAATTAAAAACACATGTATTACAAGAATAAAGCTTATGTAGGCTGTTTAAAATACCAAAGGAACCAAATTAGTCAATTATGCTGGCACCTTAAAAAAATTCACCAGCACACATACATTTACTTAAAAGTCAAGGTATAAGCAAAATCTCAAAGAAATATATAAAATATGCATACATGTTCATTCAAGGCTTTTTGAACCAACGGCCAGCACTCTTTCAAGTAAGCTTCTCTATATTTTGGGAACAAAGTTGCAAAACTGCTTTCCTCCAGGAGTCCTCTGGGATTGTCCTCTTTGGAAAAAGCTGGTTCCTTCCAACCATCAGGAACAGTGAGGAGTTCTGATTCATCTACAGGAAAAAAAACAAAACAAAACACACATCAGATTTTAGCCCACTTTTGGACATTTATATGCATAGTAGGGTCCCTAGGTGTGCCCGGCAATCGGAGCCGATGGGGGCCATCCTTTGTTCCATGCCATCCCCTGGTGGTCAGCGCACATCATAGTGAGTGATCGAACTCCCGAGGGGACACTTTGCATTTTAGCCTTTTATATATATAGATAAGCAACCTTTCAAATTTTACTGAAGTGAAGTCTAAGTATGTGTATATATGTATATACTATATTTGCATATGTGTGTATGTACATAAAATTTTTAAAAGTTGATACTCTGATGTACACTTTCAGTTAATAATCACTGGTATAGGGTTTCCAAAGAGTTTTCATGAGCCTTATTTCTGTATACCCTTCATGATAACCATGAAAGGCAGGAAGAACCAGCATAATTTTTCCCATTTCATAAAAGACATTCAGACCAAAAAGATTAGTGACTTGCTTAAGGGGACATAAAGGTCTCCTTTCATCAAAACAAAATGCCTCTGAGGGGCCATAAATTATCTCCCATAGCATTTATTTAAAACTCTTGTTCCTGGATTTTAGGAACTTCTTAAATCCAACAGCTATAACTTATATTAGTACTATTCAAAGTATGATACATAGGCCTGCAGCCAGAGCATAAGCTGCGAGTGTGTTAGGAATGTAATTCTTGCCCTAGCCGGTTTGGCTCGGTGCATAGAGTGTTGGCCTGTGGACTGAAGGGTCCCAGGTTCGATTCCGGCCAAGGGAACATATCCGGGTTTCGGGCTCAATCCCCAGTGGGGGGCGTGCAAGAGGCAGCCAATCAATGATTCTTTCTCATCATTGATGTTTCTATCTCTCCCTCTTCCTTCCTCTCTGAAATCAATAAAAATATATTAAAAAAAGAGAGAAAGAAATGTAATTCTTGGCCTCCACCCCAAACCTACTGAATCTGAAGATCTGGGCTGAGGCACAAGAATCTTTGTTTTAACAATCTTATCAGGCGATTCTTCTGCAGAAGCAGGTCTTGATAATCCATGTTATCCACCCCAGTGAGGTACACCTGCTTTCTGCTTCTTATACTTTGCTGTTTCTGGATGAAATCACAGAGAATTAGCTAATCTTCATATATCGTTCACTTCCCAATATCCTTAATAAAAGCTTGAAATGAACAATTGTCATTATTTAAAATGCACATCTGACCAAGTCCTTCCCAATTTAAACACTTCAATGGCAATGAATTTAAAAAATGGCAAAAAAATACATAGAAGTTTCACAACAGAGGAAGTAAATACAAATAGCCTTGAAACATGCGAAAAGATGTGCAACCTCATTAGTAATAAGAAAAGTTCAAAATAAAAACCAATTGATACCATTTCATACTTACAAGATGACAGAAATTCATAATTCAGATAATACCAAAGTGTTAGTTACTGTGGATATAGAGCTAAGAGAACTCTCATCCTCTGCTAGAAGTATAAACTGGCACAAACCCTTTGGGAAAGAATTAGCATTGTTACAGGATTCCAGGAGAGGAGGAATGGGGAAACTGAGACAGAAAGTCTCAGTTTTACAAGACCAAATAGTATGGGCAATTTGCAGCCAGCTTTTTTTTTTTTTTTAAATATATTTTATTGATTTTTTGCAGAGAGGAAGGGAGAGGGATAGAGAGCCAGAAACATCGATCAGCTGCCTCCTGCACACTCCCTACTGGAGATGTGCCCGCAACCAAGGTATATGCCCTTGACCGGAATCGAACCTGGGACCCTTGAGTCCGTAGGCCAATGCTCTATCCACTGAGCCAAACCAGTTAGGGCTGCAGCCAGCTTTTAAATAACAAGCCATTATCTTCTCCAGCCAAGGACACTTGAAAGCAAATGGTTAAAAACCTCCCTAATGGGAATGCAGAAAGGGAGGGGGAAAAGCGACAGGAAAAGGGGGCAATGTTACTCCCTAGGCAGAAAAGCCAGCAGTCTCTAGGTCAGGGGTCCTCAAACTACGGCCCGCGGGCCACATGCAAATACAAATATTGTATTTGTTCCCGTTTTGTTTTTTTTACTTCAAAATAAGATATGTGCAGTGTGCATAGGAATTTGTTCATAGTTTTTTTTTTTAAACTATAGTCTGGCCCTCCAACGGTCTGAGGGACAGTGAACTGGCCCCCTGTTTAAAAAGTTTGAGGACCCCTGCTCTAGGTTATAAAATTGCCAGGGGCTTCTCATGAATTCTGGGAAGGCCACAACAAAGTAAAAAGGGACCTTGAGAATTAATCTGTACCAACAGGTTCAGCAAAGGAATTTTGAGCCCTAGCCGGTTTGGCTCAGTGGATAGAGCATCGGCCCGAAGACTGCAGGCTACCAGGCCCCATTCAGGTCAAGGGCACATACTTCAGTTGCAGGCTCAATCCCCAGCCCTGGTCAGGGTGCACGTGGGAGGCAATTGATGTGTCTCTCTCTACCTCTCTTCCACTCTCTCTAAATATCAACGGGAAAATATCCTAGGGTGAGGATTTAAAAAAAGAAGAAAGGCATCTTTAGCAACTACAAGTTGAAACTAGTACCAAATGACTGACTAGAAGAACCTATACAGTGAGGAAAAAAAAAGAAATTTTGAAACCTATAGACGGGAGGGTATGTCAGCCTGAGACCCCCACCCAATTTGCTTTTCAGATTAGCTGTGCCCACCTGCACTTCTTAAGCCAGATGTATAGGTTTGCTTGCTTTGCTTCTTTATCAAAGGTGCATGTTTAAATACGTTGGCTTTTCACAATGCAGTCAAGGTCCCTCGTACACATTCATTTTTAAGAGAAGGCAAGGATGGAGGCTGTTCCCAGTGGGAGCTGTCCGGGAACACCTCTCTGGTGCTGGTGAGATGTGCCTCTAACAGCACCACCTGCACAGACTCTACACTTCAGGGATTCCAATCCCGTGTACACAACCTCCTAGAGAAACTCTTGGACATGTAAAGCTAGAGATGTGTACCAACATGTCTATAGCAGCACTGTTCATAACAGCACACAATGGGAACAATGCAAATGTCTATCAATGGGAGAATGAAAATATAAATTATTATTATTTTAAAAAATATTTTCTTATTGATTTCAGAGAGGAAGGGAGAGGGAGGGATAGAAACATCAATCTATTGATAAGAGAGAATCACTGATAGGCTGCCTCCTGCAAAGCCCCCTACTGAGGATTGAGCCTGCAATCCAGGCATGTGCCCTTGACTGGAATCGAACCAGGGACCCTTCAGTCTATAGGTTGACGCTCTATCCACTGAGCAAAACCAGCTAGGGCGAAATATAAATGAGCGTATATTCATACAAGTGAACATCATAGCAGGAGGGAAACATACAGCTTCAAGTATTGTCCTGATTAAATAACAAAAACAAAGTTAAGCCTAAGATGCAGGACACAGAACCATGCCCACAGTCCTCTCCCATTCACATAAAATTAAAATGTAGGCAACAGTACACCGCTTTGAGCATAGCTGGTAAAGACTATCAAGAAAAAGCACAGAATGATCAACACGATTTAGAACAGTTACTTCATGTCTCAAAGAAAAAGTGTGTTCTGAGAGGAGCTTGCAGGGGGCTTTTCGGGTTTCACAATGTTTTGTTCTGCTCAATGGTCTGAGCGCTCCTTTCTCACGTGTTGGCTTTAAGCTGTACATGTACCATACTCCACTATGTACACTCATAATAAAAAAAACAAAACACCGTTTATACCTTTCTATAATGCCTTCAGAATGAGAGTTCAAGGTTTTTAACACTTCCCATAAGAATGGCTTCTGAGTCCTGGTCTATTTCTCTAGCCTCTCTTCCTGGCATTCATACTGACGAAAATGGATAATACCAGAATAAAACAAGACGGCAATTTAAAAGCAGGGCAGTCTAAAGGAGAGGAGCCGTGTCGTCTAATATTTTAACAATTTGATAAACAATAATAATAAATGATGCAAATAATAAATGATGCAAAATTTCTTGAGGAGCTCACACACTAGCATTCAGGCATGCCAGACATCTCCTCCTCATCACTGTCTCACCCCTTATTACCAGCGTCCACTCAAGTAAATAATAACCTCCTCCTCCTCCCGCATCCCTCATTCTGTCAGCGACTTCCGCCCAGCGCCGCAAGTCAAAGGCTCTGCGACGCCCTCCAAAATGTCTTAATAATCATCACTTTACGGAAAACGAAGTCTCAACACCTGCGCTTCTGGGAGCCTTTAGCAGAAGCGATTATTAGGAACACGTGACCGACACCATATCCGCCAGACGGTTCCGCAGGCCCGGCCAATACCCCTAAAAACCAGCTCTTATAGGGACTCAACTTCAGAGAACAGACCCGAGGCGGCGTCACACGATCGCAACTGAGCCTCCACACCCGGGCTTCGGTGCTCACACCACCTTACCTCGGTTCTCCTGCTTCTGCTTCTGGTTACGAAATTCACTCTTTCCAGCCGCCGGGGCTGGCCCGTTCGCTTGGGAGGTCGCCATGTTCGAAACGCTCCCGTTACTCCCGGAAATGGAACGGTTCTTTAATCCTTCCGGCTAAGGTCCCTGTACTCAAAAGGAGTTCCGCAGAACCCAGACGAGGAGTTCTGCGCAGTCTCTGTGCGCGCCTACGCTAGAACCCGCGGATTTGTGTCAACTACAGCGCTTTTTTCACGTAGCTCCGGGCTTCTTCCCAGGATGCAGTGCAACCACGGAGTTTGACTGCATGCTGGGAATTGTAGTTTAGTTCTGTAGGTAAGTTGGAGACGGGTCTTGTCTGTAATTTTCCCATGGCCTCAGAGTCTAACCTGGTCTGACCCACTCTAGGGTTTGGCCGGAGAGTGCAACCTATCACTAAAGTCACTCCTTTGGTAAATGTTTATGTGATAGTCAAATATGTGATAGACGTTGGGAGAAGGTACTAACGTGAGAAATGTGGTTCTCAATGGCAGGAGGTGATAGTAATAGCTACCATTTACTGTGAGATTCCTTTGTGCAAGGTACGTTGTGTGTATTGTTTCTAATCCTTAAACCCAAAGTTATACATTGAGAAAACCAAAGTTTAAAAAAACCCCACAAGATTTATGATTTTTTTGCAAGATTAGTTTCCAAAGTTCTTGTTTCGGATGGTGATTTCTAGGGTCTTGGTATTTCTCTTTCTAAGCCAGAAGGATAGCAATTAAGCATTACTTCTGAAGTATTTCACTTAGCCTAAGACTTCCCAAAATAGTCATCCCCAGGCCATCCCAACGCTGAATATTAGATGATTTCATGGTGTGAGGTTCACCACTACTACAAATCTTCACACTTCTAAGAATCTTAAAGTTCTTAGACTCACTAAAGATAACTTGTTTTTATGATTGTTTTTATTTGCTTGCTATTTAAAAATTTTTTTCTGCAGAATAGAAGAAGTTTGATAGGTTGAATTCCTCACATCAGTGAAATGGGAAACAATTATCTGAAATCTACCCTTATGTATCTTCTAGAAAGGATTCTTATGAGGTACACGTAGAAGAGAGACGGTCACTTAGGGATAGAAGATCCCAAAATTACATTAAGATTTTTGCTGTTAGCCCATGTGTCTTATAAATGACAGGCAATGATTTCATCCCTATATTCTTATAATCTGCTAAAAAAAATTGACAAATCCCTGTAACAGAACAAATAACAGGTGAAAGTTATAAAGTGAGAAGCAATCCTTCAATATTCCCAGAAGACCTCGGAAGCAGGTTTTTATTACCCTTATTTAAGGAACTCAGTGGACTTAAATAATAGTGAGTTAGACTTCAAGTCTAGGCAGTCTGACCACTAGTAGCTCTGTGCAAGGAGGGCTGGATTTTCAGCCTCATTGCTTTTGGACTTGAGCTGCATCAGCAACCCTTCTCTGTGTCTTCAGCCTGTTGGCCCACCCTAAAGATTTTGGACTTTCAGGCCTCCATAATCACATGACTATTATATAAATACTTTGGAGAACCCTGACTAATACAGCAATTTATAGTAAAGTAAATACAATGGCTAATAAACATATTACACTTAATTTTTTTTAAAAAATATATTTTATTGATTTTTTTACAGAGAGGAAGGGAGAGGGAGAGGGATAGAGAGTTAGAAACATCGATGAGAGAGAAACATCGATTCAGCTGCCTCTTGCACGCCCCCTACTGGGGATGTGCCCGCAACCCAGGTACATGCCCTTGACCGGAATCGAACCTGGGACCCTTCAGTCCACAGGCCGACGCTCTATCCGCTGAGCCAAACCGGTTAGGGCTACACTTAATCTTATTACTGTCAGAAAAGCATATAGATATCACTTTTCAGCCACCAGATTGGCAAAAAAGAAATAAAAAATATTTTAAATAATATTCTGCTGGAGGAGAGAGCAGTCTTATACAGACTGATAGAAATGTAAACTGTTACTGCCTTCTTGCAAAGCAATCTATCAATATAAAATATACACATATTCTTCCACAATAATTTCCCTCCGGAGAAATTGTCAACTAGAAATAAAGCACCACTTCATTAGGAAATATGTATAATTGTGTTGATTATTGTCTTGTATAGAAGTAGTTCAGTGAAAGGTACTTTGGAGCCACACTGACTAGTTTAGTGCCTACTGGCTGTATAGGCTTGGGCAAATTTCTTACTCACTCCTGTTCAGTTTCCTACAAAGGAGAGAATAACCTTAACTCAGTGAGTTTATACATGTCAAGTGCTAAAAAAGTGCTTTGCATATGAAACACACTCAATAAGTATTAGCTATTATTTATTTACAGTGGCAAAAAATAAAAAACAACTATCAATTAGAGATAAGTAAATTGATGTTACCTTCATAACCATGAGGTATTATGCAACCATTCATAAGAATTAATTAAATTTATGTGGAGAACCCAGCTGGTGTGGCTCAGTGATTGAGTGTCAACCTATGAACCAGGAGGTCACAGTTTGATTCCTGGTCAGGGCATATGCCCGGTTGTGGGTTCAATCCCCAGTGTCGGGCATGCAGGAGGCAGCTGATCAATGGTTCTCTCCCATGATTGATGTTTTTCTCTCTCTTCCTCTCCCAAATCAATAAAAATATTAAAAATATAAATACATGTGTGGAGAGCTTACCCGGGGTCATTGAATGATAAAAGTTAGATACAAAAAGATGGGATAATTATAATTATCCTATATAATAAACGCCTAATATGCTAAGTACCTGGTTATCTGGTCATCCATTCAACCAATCAAAGCGTAATATGCTAATGATATGCTAAGGCCACTCACTGTGATGTGCATTGACCACCAGGGGACAGACACTCTGACCAGTAGGTTAGTTTGCTGCTGGGGTCTGGCAGATTAGGACTAAGTGAGACCGGGCCAGATAAGCCCTGGAACCCTCCCATGGTCCCTCCCTGGCTGGCCAACCTCCTGCATCCCTCCCCAGCCCCGATCGTGCACCAGTGGGGTCCCTCAGCCTGGCCTGCACCCTCTTGTAATCCAGGACCCCTTGGGGGATGTTGGACTGCCGGTTTCAGCCCGATCCCACAGGCCAGGCAGAGGGACCCCACTGATGCATGGATTCGTGCACTGGGCCTCTAGTATTAAAATAATTAGATTAGGAGGAACCAAGATGGCGGCATAGGTACACACTTGTACTTGCTGCCTCGCACAACCACATCAAAAATACAACTAGAAGATGAAATGGATATCATCCAGAACCACTGGAAGGCTGGCTGAGTGGAAATTCTACAACTAGAAGGAAAGAGAAAAGCGCATTGAAGCGGGTAAGAGGTGCAGAGGTGCAGAAGTGCAGAGGTATGGAGGCGTGCGCGGAAACGGGCTGGCAACTGGGTACACTGTTGTCTTTTTCAATCAGGAGGGAGATACAAGCTCCCAATTCCTCTGAAATCCAGTTCCGGGTGAGACTCTGGGGACCCAGACTCATATGGAGAGAAACTGGACTGTCTGGCATCGGGCTGTAACGCAAGGGCGGCTTTCTTGCAGAGGTGCTTGCAGTGATCATTGTTCCTGCACGGGGCTGTGGGACACAGAGACCCTGGAACTTCTCCAAAGTGGGGCTGATTGGCAGCCATTAAGGTTTGCTCCACCCTGATGATTCCCTGAGACTCCATCCCACCCAATTTACAACCCCACCCAAGCTGTGAGCAGAGGCTTTTGCATACGAATGGCCAGTTCTTTTGCAATCTAAAACCTAACAAACTGCAGCTGGGTCAAAGAGTGCCAACGTCTCCAAAAAAAGGCTTAGACAACAGCTTGCATTGCTTCACAGCTGGGCCTCATTTGGGCACTTCCAAACCCCAAACAAAGAGGAGAAATCTGCAGATCTCTCTGTAGCTCCTGCTGGGTGGCCTCAGGAAGTGGCTGACTTTGCACCTCCTTGGAGATCCAAGAGCCAGTGTACCCAGTGGTCAGAGTGAAACCATACCAGAGTGCAACTCTTCACATCCATAAGGGACACATTCAAGGGGCAGACTTAGTGAGCACCAAAGCCCCACTGAAGCAAGTCCTGCTCCATAAGGGTGTCTCCAGCACAGTAGGTCTCCTATTGTAGATACAGCTGGTCCTCACAGCCAATTGGCCTGGTGGTCAATTCCTCCCAGTGATACCAACAGCAATCAAGGCTTAACTACAACAAGACTGTGCACAAAGCCCACAAAGGGGTGCACCAAGCATGTCAACCTCGCCCTAACCGGTTTGGCTCAGTGGATAGAGCGTTGGCCTGCGGACTGAAGGGTCCCAGGTTTGATTCCAGTCAAGGGCATGTACCTTGGTTTCGGGCACATTCCAAGTAGGGGGTGTGCAGGTGGCAGCTGATCAATATTTCTCTCTTATCGATGTTTCTAACTCTCTATCCCTTTCCCTTCCTCTCTGTAAAAAATCAATAAAATATA